GCTGTATCCATGAAGTTAATTGCTGTTTTGTCACTTGTGTGGCATTTTAATGGTTAAAACTGGCCACTGCCACTGCCAAGTGCAGTTGATCTGCCTGGCTCTTTCCCAGCATTCACCTATAATACAGAATGGCAGGGGAAGCAGAGAGGGCTGGGTGCCTTACAAATGCCTGCTCCTCCTCCTTGGTCAACCTGCACTGGAGGGAGGGAAGGCCGGTGGATCTGGAAGCCAGCGCTCTGTGGGAGGGGGAGAAGGAAAGCCTGGGATGGTTCCTTCTGAGCACCCAGCCTTGCAAGGGAACAGGTATGTGCCACTGGCCCATCGCACGTTCATCTGCCATCTCTCAGCCACTTGCAGCGTGAGGATGGGGAGGGCCCAGCAAGACAAAAGGAGACATTATTCAGAATGGAGCCTCTCTGCATTGAGGATGAATGGAGTATTGAAAGCACAGCATTATGGACTAGATTATTTTTCATCCCTTCATAACTGAGCTATTTGTCTGCTGGCAGGTTTCCCCCAGAGCTTGGTCAGCAGGAGACGAACAGCAAGTGCGGGACAAATCAGCAGGTCTCAATGGTGGCACATCCCATAGGTTACAAACATGCACTTAATTGCTTATGCTGCCATCAGAGCAGCTAGGATCAGGCCCATGCACTGTTCGTAGCAAGATCTGGCCTGGGCCCTTCAAATGAAAGGGGTGAGGAGGTGGAAGGTCTACTATTAAAGGCTGCAGGACTCAATCCCATGCCTGGGAATGGTCATCACACCTGCTGGGGTCACTGGGCCTTTGGCCAGGCCTGGTTCTCAGGTGGCTGCTTTGGAGCTGTGTAGCCAACAGCTGTTGGCTATGGATGCCCCATGGACTCCAGTACAGTGTCTGAGGCCACATTTAACCTACTGTAACCCACTGTAACTCTTATAAGATTTGCCTGGACATACAGGAAAATAGGGCTGGACTTGGGGCTTCAGAATCTAAAAAGCCCAAGCGCCTACTGCCTGAGCTAAGAAGTCACCTTAGATCCAGAAGCAGACTCCAGTGCTTGTGGGGGACAAGGCACCATACTGAACTAGCATAGGTTACACATGCTCTTAGGACAGAAGAGACAACAGTCATCTTGGTGGCTAGTGCAGGGAGTTGCCAGTGGGTCATTCCCTGTAGTATGGTGCAGAAGAGGTGGGTTTGCAAATGAAATCATGATGACAGGGAAGGTGAACAGGCGCTTCCTTCTGCCAGCCACAATAGCTGCCTAGTTCTGCCTCAGGCAAAAGAGACGAGAAGCAGTAGGATTGAGGGGAGCCCAGGCCTGGTACAGTGGGTATAGGATGAGCTGAGTCTCAGAACTGGACAGGGACATAGTGAACAGCCTGGAGGCCCAGCCAGTGGAGGGTGTTGGATGGCACAGAGCCCCTGATGTGCTCGGTGCTGGGCATGCACAGGACCCAGTGTCAGAAGAGATCAGCTGTGTAAACAATGTCACCAGCTTGTCATCTTCCGTGTGCTGGGGAGTCACAAAGGGCAGGGCTCCTTTACAAGGCCCACTTCTTGTCTTAGCCAGTATAAATCAACTGAGCCCAGTATAATTCAACTTCAGTAGAGCTCATCCAGAGTAACTGTGAGCAGAGCCTGGCCCCCTGCCCATTACAGGGCTTTAGCAGAGCTGTAGCAAGCTGGCGTTGCTTGCAAGCTAGCAGGTGCCCTCCTTGACAGTAATTTATGAGGAGAGAGCAGCACACAGGGGAAATAGCATCTTATTATCTTTAATATCTCCCTCATTTTCTCTCTGACATTTTTCTTCTTCCCTCTTGATCCTGTCCCACTTGGATCTGCTTTGGCTTCTGTCCACTGGTGCATGACTGTCATATCAGTTCCATGCTCCTATCTGCTCCTGTCTTCTTCTGCATTGCTGAGGTGAGTTTATTCACAAGAGAAGGAAACATGTCTGGTGGCTGGAGCCTACTTTGACTAGATCTTAAGGGAGAGTGGCTAGAGCAGGACAGGTTGGGGAGCCAGGACTCGAGCAGGAAAGGTTGGGGAGCCAGGATTCCTGGGTTCTCTTAGATCTTCAAGGAGAGGGGAACAAAGTCTCTGGTGAAGTGGATGAGGACACTTTGGATGCATTAGCTAATTACAGGGTGACTAAGGACATAAGCTAACTTCCTCCGGGTTGTGTGTGGGAGGGCTTCAGTGCAACATACACCATCCACTCACCTACTCTGCATATGCTTGCTCTACCAAATGAGGCAACATAGAGGCACCTTAGAGTAGTGCTGAACATAAGCCCTGCACTGTTCTTGGACTCCTTGTCTTGGGATGCTTATTGACTCAGGGCCAATCAAAGGTACCATTACTGTCCCCTTTTGGGGATCAGGCACATATGGAGCAGCATGAGCAGATGGAGTGACTCCTGGTGGTCCTCCCAGGCACGAGGGAAGCAGAGTGGATGTGCCTTAAGGGCCAACAGCACAATTCAGCTGTGAAACAGGATGGGTAGGAAGGAGGGGAAGAGCCCAGTTTGCGTAGCTCAGCACCAAGACAGCTGAGAGGGGTCAGGGACACATCAGGGAGTAAAAACCGGGAGCTACAAAGGTTTTAAACCCTTAGAAGAATGGAGCCCTGGAACAGCCTCCCCGGAGGAGCAGTGGATTCAAACCATCTTACTGGTCAGTGTTCAGCTGCTATATGTTTGCAGGCTCTTGGGCCCCATGATAGCAGGAGTTGGGCTCAGTGGCCAAGGAGGCCCCTTCAGTCCTGTGCTTATTTGGCATAGGGGTCTGGGCCCTTGTGCTCTACTCTTGACTCTGCTTTGACTTTAAACAAGTCATTTAAGTTCTTCATGCCTTAGCTTCCCTGCAGCATCAAATATACATTAGCAGGACTTGTATGCCAGAGCCAGGAAACACCTGAGCAACGTGCTCCTTAGAAAGGTTGTGTTGTTATCATGGGTGTGCAGAGCTGTGCCAGAAGGCCTTGCAGATGGGCACTAATCTGCAATGTTTGTCACATAGACTGAGAGCTCTGGGGAGCAGTGGATTCTGCAGCTGTGCAGAGGGGTTAACTGGGCAACCCTTGAGGTCCCTTCTTGCCCCGTGATTCTATGGGGAAAGAGAACATGAACATTGCTCTGCTCTGTACAGTGCCCAGCACAATGGGGGCCTCGTCCGTGCATGGGGCTCCAAGGCTTTGCCATCGCAGTTGCTAATGTTTGTACTGAATGTTCCAGGTGTGGCCTCTCATCTTCTTGAGAGACAGTCGGACGATTGCCTGTGGGACGAGGGAGAAGCAGAAATGAGAATTGGTCCCTGCCCAGTTCACAAGCACAGAGTGTGGAGACCAGGCCTTTGGGTACTGACCACTTTCCTGATCTCTGCAGCACTGCTCCTCCTCCTCGGCCCCCGTGGTGAGCCATTTCATGGTATGGGGCTGGGAGGCAAGGTAGGAAGAGAGCTTTGTCCACCAATAAGAAGTTGATCCTATGGCTGGAGGATTGGGTGGGAAATGCAATTCCCTCCATCAGCATCAGGAGCCTCCCACCAGCTGCTCTGGGTCTGAGAGGTGCAAGCTGAGGGAGTTGGTGGGAGTGCTGTGATCCCACTTAAGTGAAGGAAAGTGCTTAGTACACCTTCCTGGAAGACGAATAAATGTGTATGGGAGGCTAAGTCAAGCTTCTGGACTCAGCCACCCCAGAATGGAACTGGGGCACAGCGTGGCCTTGTGGAGAGAGCCCTGAGCAGGGACATGGAAACTCTGGCTCTTACATTGGCTTGCTGGGCAAACTTCAGTCAGTCACTTTCTCTCTTCAGGCCTCAGTTTCCCAACTGGTAAAATGGGGATAATGATACTGAGCTGTGTGGTAAGGGGCTGTGAGATCTACTGATGGAAAAGGATCCTGAGAGAGACAGATCCAGACTGGCTGACTGAGGGAAAGCATGAGCTATCTAATCCTCCCAGAAGTGATTGAGGGAGGCAAAGAATGGGGTGGGGGAACAAGTAGGCAGTATGCAAGCAGGTAAAAGAGTACAAAGAAGACTTCCAAGATGCCAAAAGTAGCTGGATCCTCAATTTCCCAGTAATGGGAATGAGAACTGTGCATCTCAGTCCCCTAGTTGCATCCTAGTCAAGGTGGGTGGTAGAAAGCAAAGGGCTCTTCTATTAGCATTTGCACAGCTTGTTCAGATTTACAGCAAGAGGGGACAGCTCAGCTTGAGCCACAGGTGTAGGTATGAAATGTGCCAGTTTCCCTCCACCAAGGTGTATGGAGGCTATCACTGGCTTTTGCTCATCCATTGTTTAGCACCCTGCATGGGTGTAGATCTCAGTGAAAAAAGTGTCCTTGGGCAGAAGGCAGCATTAGATCCATGCGCCTTGAAAGGGTTTAAACAGGACTCCAGTGGTGCTTAGACTCTTTGAGGAACCAGGACTGAATTTCAGCAGGGATTAAGGCAGGTTGGCTTGGATTTGTTTAGAGATGGGCAGAAAACAGTATCCAGACATTCCCAAACTCTGTAAGAAGGAGATCAAAATCCAAGTCTGAAATGTGCCACCCTGAGCCTATTTCCAGTCTAGGTGCCCAGGTACTTCAGTGATAAGCACAAACTAAAAACAAAGGTTTACTTACCCAGGTAGTTTGCTCCAGCATAAGCTATGGTGTGAATTTCAATATAGTTATACCATGATAATTTCCTTGTGGGGGCTGGGGGGTGGTACATTAATTAAAGCAGCTTCAAGAGATGCCCTAATTAAAGCTCTGCAGTGTCTTGTGTATCAGCATCCCTGCATTTCAAAATGGTAGTGGAGGTGCTTGAATTAAAGCTTGTTCAACAAGCTTTAGTTCAAGCATCCCTGCCACCATTTTGAAGTATGGGGACACTGATACATGAGACATGGAAGGCTGCTGGAGCACAGTAATTACCACACTCCAACAAACTCAGTTAACCAAGTCTGCTCCACTGCACTGTAATTCCAGTGCATCAGAGCAGCCTCTGCACTTGTGTACAGGCACCCTCTTATACCAAAGTGTGTGCTTTTTCAATCTAGTTTGTGTCGCTTTGGAAGAGGTTAAGCTAAACCAGAAAAGGCCCCCCTTATTCTGGAATAGAAATATGATACCCATATAATTCTGTGTTGATTTTATCAGTGTAATTCTATTGATATTGATATAATTGTGTTGATTATTATAGGTAAACTTTCCCATGCAGACATCAGGGATTTTCATAGAGAGTTAGGCCTGCAACTGCTTCTGCCCGTCACTGGGATTTGGGGCACATAAACTGTCTTAAACTCTTTGCAAAAATCTTACTAAACAGGTGAATTTGATGTCTGTACTTAACTCAGAAATAGTTCCAATTGAAAGCTTCTCAGCCAGAGCGGCTGAGGTTGGGGTCTGTAATAAAACTCCAGCAGGGCCTCGACACTCACAAGGCTGACTTTGTTCTGCTTAACTATTGACAGGGATTGATGCGGTCCCTGCCAGCCTCCATGGAGATGCTTTATTCATGAGCACTCTGGCACCTTGCTCTGATATGCAGCAAATAGGTGCATGCTGGCACCTCTCAGCTGAGAACAGCTTGCCTTGATGCAAACAGTTCATTTCTCACAGATGGATTTGGGTGTGGTTTATACTACAATCGGCAGTTTGCTTTCTCACAAGCCTCCCTCTCTCCTGGTACATTGCTCCTGGGACACATTTCCGGGGGATCATTGGGGACAGGAACTGTCATACATTTTGTCCTTTTGTGTTTTGCTTATTTCTCTTCGTGAATGGGCCTCGGCTGAGTTGCTAATGAAGAATTATTTGTCCTCCAGGTTGGTGGTTTAAATTTTAAGAGTGTCCAGAAAAGAATCTGATTTAAATAGGTTCCTCCTCCTCCTCC